ACATACACACAAACATATATATATATATATATATATATATTATAGTGTATATATATAAGTATTATGATTATATTAATCCCAAGTAATTTAGTCATTTTTTCACTGTTAGATGTCAATCCGTTAAGTGTAAGAATTAAGACGAGTTGTTACACCACTCATGACTACAGATTACACGATAAAAGAGAGACATTTGAGTGATTCATGATTACAAGAGTAACCTCACAAAAACTCTTTATAATCTTTCTAAAATTATGCTAAGAAAAACATTGATGGGTAAAATGGAATATAAAGACTTCCTAGAGACCCTATTTTTATAACAATTTTTGTTAGGCTTTTAGGTCAGATTTGTTTGTTCAAAACACCCATGTGGCTTGCTATGAACAAGTTTGTGCGTGCTTACAGGAATGCTCTTCACTCGCTCAAAGTGTCTACGACTATGACTAGGTGAACCACTTTCACAATTGGTGTAGTGTAAATCACATTTTTTTAACCATATGATTAATCTCATCCTCAAACTATTAGGGTGCAACTCTTACTATATTATTTTCTTTTTCTGAGATCAACTCAACCTTCCACTCTCCATAGTTGCTATTACTATCAGAGTATCCACTACCACTGTCGTAGAACTCCTCTGCCACAATATTCCATTTTCTTGTAACAACTCACTACTTTGGAATCCATTTGACGCGATTATCATCATTGTTGACATGATTCACTAAATCTGCCACTACAATCTACAGTAGAGCCGATCAACCAAATTTGTAATGATGGACTCAAAGACATCCATTCATCCTCCTTCACTGTATAGTCTACCATCTAAGACCCTCCATGTATTGTTGTTTTAAGAAGCACCACTCTTTGACAACGAGAAGAAGCATGACCATCAGGGTGTTGCATGACAAAGTGGAGGATAAAGACCCGAGATGAGTCATATAGACTCGAGATGAGGGCTTTTTGACCAAAGTGGGGTCGTTGACCAAGTTATTGAGAGTCACCTTGCCCATGATCTAGGTTCACCAAAGGGAAAAAGATTGGGGGGTTTTTAAGGTGGGGTTGTTTTGGACGTGAAAATAGAGGTGAGATGGTGAGGCATGGCGGAAGTGTATGGTGCTCAAAGGTTGGCTCACTCCAAGTGAAGGTGGAGGCCACTCTAGGGTTTCACTCTCCAAGGGTGGAGAATGAAGGTGGTTAGCCGAAGTTAACCTAGTGACTAAGGAAGAGATTTTGAGGCAAATAATGCTCACTCAATATCATATAATCCAAAGTATTTACAAGGTGTGGTGCATTGGGTATTTATAGGAG